GCAGTGGTGGTTCGCATTTTAAAGCTTATGTACTTTTTGAAAGTCAATAAACTTATCCATGGATTTAAAAGTCCATAGAATTCATTCATAAAAAAGTCTATGGATTTAAAAGTCCATTGACTTTTTTAAAAGTCCACTGTTTAAAAAAAATCCACCACAATCCATATTCAATACATCCCCATTGGTTTTGGACATCTATTTAGTCATAAATAAATCTCTTGAGTCCGTTTTCCGTCCTAACCGGCCGGACAGGAGGTTCCTCCGGCCACCTCAATTTGAGGTAGTTCCTGGAAATATTTTTGGCTGAAATGTTTTGAGTATGTTCCTCATCAAGTCTAGTTTATCTATACTAAATTTGAGAAAACAATTCAACCGGGAAGGTCATCAAATGATTTTTGCATGAAAACTGGTCCGGAATATACATATAAAACGCAGTTTTCAAGCAAAAATCATTTGACAATCTTTCCGATTGAATTTTTTTCTCAAATTTGGTATGGATGAACTAGACTTGATGAGAAACATACAAAAACAATTTCAGCCAAAAATACCTCGGAACTACCTCAAATTGAGGTGGCCGGACAGGGTGTTCCTCCGAACCGGCCGGAGATGAATATTTGTGTAAATCTCTTTAACTAATATTGGAATCTTAATTTTAGTGAAGATAAAATTATGCCAGAGTATGATATATAATTTAGTTTCATCTGAAAAGATAATTTTGCAAAAATTAGTTCATATTTCTGCAAAAATTAGGTTATCTAGAATTAGAAACTTTATTTTAAAATATTATGCATGCGAGTGTTTAATATAATCTTTAAAAATTGTTATAATGTTGTGAAAATGAAGAAGATGAAGACTAAATTTGAGAGAGAGATATATTAATAAAAGCTCTAAATATCTTCTTCTTAATATTTGAGAAGTTCTGAATTTCTGAATTAATTTACAATGCCTCATCAAGCTCCTATTTATACTGTTTGAACTTGATGATTAGTCACTTAAGGGATGAATCTACAGATTTGGTGGCAATAACAATTTGAGCCATCTGTTCTAACTAGGTTACAAGGATTAAACATAATTTCTGGATTGATGACAAGGATGAACAATTCACACTTGTCATTTCCAGGATTTTACAACACTCCCCCTTGAATGTTCATCCTTGAATAGTTGTCTATTATTTTAAAAACATATTGTGAAAATTAAGGGGTAAAAATTACGACTTATAATGTCGTTGTATTTGGATGTACTGTCTCGTTAAAAACCTTATCAGGAAAAACCCAGTGGGATAAAAACCTGATGAAGGGAAAAAGAGTGCAGTGCATTCAAATACTCCCCCTGAATTTAGTATAAATTATGAAGACGTCGCATGCCGATTTTCTGTATAAGTTCCATGAACTTCTTCGGGGGTAAAGATTTGGTGAAGAGATCGACTGGATTTTCACTGGATCTGATTTGTTGAATGTTGATCGTCCCTTCTTTCTCGAGATCATGAGTAGAGAAGAACTTTGGTGATATGTGTTTTGTTCTGTCTCCTTTGATGTAGCCTTCTTTAATCTGAGCTATGCACGCAGTGTTGTCTTCGTAGATCACAGTAGGATGACAAGTAATAGACTTCATACCACATTCATTTTGGATGTGTTGAATCATAGATCGTAGCCACACACATTCTCTTCCGGTTTCATATAGTGCAATTAACTCAGAATGATTTGACGATGTAGCTGTCAATGTCTGCTTCATAGATCTCCATGAGATTGCGGTGTTACCATAAGTAAATACGTACCCGGTTTGTGATTTCGCCTTTTGAGGATCTGATAAGTATCTAGCGTCTGCATATCCGATTAAAGCAGTTATTTCATCTTTGTGGTAGAATAAGCCAAGATCAACTATACCACGTAGATAACGAAATATGTGCTTGATCCCGTTCCAATGACGTCTTGTTGGGCATGAACTGTACCTAGCTAATAAATTTACGGAGAATGCAATATCTGGTCTAGTATTATTAGCTAAATACATTAAAGCTCCAATAGCACTCAGATATGGTACTTCGGGTCCGAGTATTTCTTCGTCGTCTTCTCGGGGACGGAATGGATCATCGTGTATGTTGAGAGATCGAATGACCATTGGTGAAGTCAAAGGATGAGCTTTGTCCATATAGAATCTTTTCAACACTTTCTCGGTGTAATTGGTTTGGTGGATGAAAATTCCATTCTTCAAATGCTCAATTTGAAGCCCGAGACAAAATTTGGTTCTCCCGAGATCTTTCATTTCAAATTCTTTCATAAGATATTTTGCAGTATTTTCAATCTCATCGGGAGTTCCAATAATATTTAAGTCATCAACATATACTGCAATTATGGCGAATCCCGAATTTAATCGCCGGATGAAAACACATGGACTAATTGGATCATTCTTATATCCTTCCTTAAGAAGGTATTCACTGAGACGATTATACCACATTCGTCCAGATTGTTTTAGTCCATACAATGACTTTTGTAGTTTAATGGAAAACATTTCTCGAGGTTTCGAGCTATAAGCTTCAGGCATTTTAAATCCTCCGAGTACTTTCATATAAATGTCTGTATCGAGTGAACCGTATAAATATGCAGTTACTACATCCATTAGGCGCATTTGCAGCCTTTCAAAAACAGACATGCCAATGAGAAACCTTAATGTAGTTGCATCAACTACTGGAGAATAGGTTTCTTCATAATCAATTCCCGGCATTTGAGAAAACCCTTGGGCAACAAGTCGGGCTTTATATCTTAAAATTTCATTTTTCTCATTGCGTTTACGCACAAATACCCATTTAAAGCCTACTGGTTTTACGCCTTTTGGCGTAGGGACTATCGGTCCAAAAACATCACGTTTTTCAAGTGATTTCATTTCAGCCTGAATTGCTTCATTCCATTTTGGCCAATCGTGTCGTTTCCGACATTCTTCTATTGATGTTGGCTCATTGTCATTGTTTTCATTCATAACATTTGTGGCAACGGCATAGACAAATATCTCATTAATATCAATATCTTTACGATTCCATTGCATTCCAGTAGAAACGTAGTTTATTGAAATTTCATAATTATCAACGTTTCTATCATTGTCTGGCATATCTTCCTCATTTAAGGAAGTTGGATCATCATTTGAGATATTTGTTTTGTCAATATCATTTTCTATGCCAATATCTTCAAATTGTTCATTTTCTTGTTCAGAAGGATGAAAATCTTTGGCATCACAGATCGATTCCTGCCTTTTAGTTTTTCTTGGTTTTATATCTTTCGATCCAAGTGGCCTGCCACGCTTTTTGCGTATAGAAGAATCATTTGCTAAAGATTTTTCAGAATTCTCTATTGGGATTTCGATTCTGGCAGGGGCATTCATGGCAGGAATATGTGACTTTGTCACTTTCTTTGTGTCTGTGAATGCATCAGGCAACTGATTTGCAACATTTTGTAAATGGATTATCTTTTGCACCTCTTGCTCACATATATTTGATTTTGAGTCAAGATGTGATAATCCTGTTGCATTCCATGTTATTTCTTTCGTATTTGGATCGGATTTATTAGTTTCTCCCCCTAAGGTTGGGAATACTGTCTCATTGAAATGACAGTCAGCGAACCGTGCGGTGAATAAGTCACCAGTCATCGGTTCAAGATATTTGATTATTGAGGGAGATTCAAATCCAACATAAATTCCCAACCTTCTTTGAGGACCCATTTTTGTACGATAAGGTGGAGCAATCAGAACATAAACAGCACAACCAAATATTTTAATGTGTGTTAAGTTTGGCTCTTGTCCAGTAACTAATTGCATTGGAGAATATTCATGATATGCAGTCGGTCTAAGCCGAATTAAATTTGCTGCATGTAAAATAGCATGTCCCCAAGCTGATGAAGGTAAATTACACTTCATTAATAATGGTCTAGCGATTAATTGTAATCGTTTAATCAAAGATTCAGCAAGACCATTTTGTGTATGGACATGAGCAACAGGATGCTCCACATCAATCCCAATCGACATACAATAGTCGTTAAATGATTGGGATGTAAATTCTCCTGCATTGTCAAGTCGGATTCTCTTTATAGAATGATCCGGAAAATGAGCTCTTAATCGTATGATTTGAGCAAGGAGTTTAGCAAATGCTAAATTTCTAGTCGATAAAAGACTAACATGTGACCAACGTGTTGAAGCATCAATCAACACCATAAAATATCGAAATGGTCCACACGGTGGGGCTATCGGCCCACAAATATCTCCTTGAATCCTTTCTAAGAATGCAGGTGATTCAGTTGCAATTTTGTTCATTGAAGGCCTGATGATCATTTTGCCAAGAAAACAGGCCTTACAAGGAAAATCACTTGATACTGGAACCCTGATATTCTTTAATGGGTGTCCAAGTGAAGTCTTAATGATTTTATGCATCATTACTTGGCCTGGGTGACCTAAACGGTCATGCCACAACATGAATGTTTTCCGATCATCTAACTTTGTTTTAGAAACCAAATTTATTTCGAATGGACTAATATATGTGAAATATAGTCCTGAGGAATATGCTGACATTTTTTCACAAAAATATTTAGCGCCAGATTTAGTTGTCGTGAGACAAAGATATTCCCTTTGGTTTTCATTCATGGTTTCTATGTGATAACCATTTTGACGCATATCTTTAAAGCTCAATAAATTTCTCCGCGATTTGCTGGAGTATAAAGCGTCATTTATAATTATTTTTGTCCCATTAGGTAGCATCACATATGCTTTCCCAGAGCCTTCAATGAGCTTCGCAACACCTGATATGGTATTGACTTTAACCTCAACTAAAGTAATTTGAGAGAAATATATTTTATTTCTCAAAATGGTGTGCGTTGTGGCGCTGTCTATCAGACATAGTTCTTTATCATTTGAGTGATCCATATCTTCAATATATATAAACATAAGTTTGATCACAAATTATGCATATTATTTAACATAAGAGTATATACATTACACATATTTATTTAAAAACAAAATAAAAAGGGGAAGAAAGAAAAAGTACATTGTAGAACATCAGGAGTCAACTATTTTATTTAGTAACATTTTGGTTTATGGCAAAAGCATCGTCCATAATGGCATCATCCGCGAAAAAGTCAGACACGTCAAATTTTGGCAGAGGTGGAGTTGTGTCATTGACATAATTAACTTCCATATTTTTGCCTTTGTTCAAATTCATGGAAGCTTGAAATAATTCCACCAGATGCTTTGCAGTACGACATTTGTTAGCCCAGTGCCCTGTCATGCCACACTTGTAACAAGTCGTCTTCACCGAGGATTTTATAGGGCGATTTATTTGATGGGCCTTTTGTTTGCCCTTGCCCTTATAATTTGGTCTTTCGATCTGTTTGAATTCTCGGTGTAACTTGTTTTTATGACCATTAAAATGCCCACGTTTAAAATGCCTTCTACTACCACTGTATGTTGCATTTGATTCAGTGGCTAAATTATGGCCAGATGGACCATAAACCGAAGGACTAGAACCAGTGGGTCTCAGATTATGATTTTTCATCAAAAGGTCATTATTTTGCTCAGCGACCAATAATACTGATATTAAATCGGAGTATTTTTTAAAACCTTTTTCTCTATATTGCTGCTGTAGCAGCATATTAGAAATATGCATTGTAGAAAAGGTTTTCTCCAACATATCAGCATCAGTGACTTTTTGTCCACATAACTTTAGTTTAGATGTTATTTGGAACATAGCAGAATTATAGTCACTGATAGATTTAAAGTCCTGGAATCTTAGATTGATCCAGTCATACTGAGCTTTTGGTAAAAGTACCTTTTGTTGGTGGCCATATCTCTCCTGTAAATTGTCCCATAATTCTTTTGGGTTATCAACCAAAAGATATTCAGATTTGAGACTTTCATGGAGATGATGACGGAGAAAAATTATAGCTTTCGCTTTATCCTGGGAGGATGATTGATTATCAGCCTCAATGGTGTCTTCAAGACCATTAGCCTTTAAATGTGCTAAAGCATCAACTTTCCATTCCAGATATTTTTGACCGGACAAATCAAGAACGTCGAATTCTCGTTTGCTAATATTTGCCATGATATACTACAAAAATCATTAATACAAATTTAGTAAAACCGTATTAATTATAGTTTGATCAATGTTTTACTTTAGAATTTAGAGAATTATAAAGCTTATGGATATTGATGCATATCTGTAAATACAAATTCAAAAGAAAGACACGTAGAAGTGTAGTACTATGTAAACTAACACGTCATGCATCTCTTGTTTTATGTATTTGAGGAAAATGATTGTTAATTACTTTGAATGGTTTTGGCAGATAAAAACAAAAGTAACCGAATAGTAATTCAATAGGAACTCTGAAGCATTCTAACTTATATTACTCAGAAAAATGGTATTCTGTATTAAGTTCTTGCATTAAAGCAGTAGTACCGTGATTCTAAATACGGAGTAGTAATTTATTTACTTTTATTTATTTACATGTCTCATTAAATAAAAATAATAATTCACTGCTTGTTTAAAGCCAAGAACAAAACAAGCATTCACATGGTGAAAAAAAAAAGGTCTCGTGACATGCTGTGAATGCAGTCAGAGGATAAGTCAAAAATAAAACAAGATCTATGCTTCCTTGAATTTTGATAGGTTATAAATGTGGTAATTGTTTGTTGTTATTACAACTTGAAAAATTGGTCAGATCAAACCATTATAAACGTCAGAGACAAAAGGTTGCATGTTCATTTCATTTTAAATATTAGCTTTAGAAATCCACACTACTAGAGATAACTCTGTATCGTTGAGTTGTAGTTCAGAGTCATATTTAACTATCCCCTCTCTTACCAAGTACTATGTATTACATATTTCCAGATTTCTTATTTATGGTGTTATAGTGGTGTTATCTTTCCCCCAAGTATTATCATGTTGCTCGTTTCCTATTCGTTTAACATTAGATTGAAGAAAAAGAGTATCACAGGTATGTATGTTGCTAATATGAAAATAACAACATAAATTTCAGATTCGGACAGAAGGATCTCAATTTCGGTCAGTCAAATAAAATGTTCAGATTTATTTAATTCTTTCTTGAGCAATTTAAAGAAGATCAATCATACGTAGTGTTAATGTTAATACCTGCAGGGGATAGCTGAATTCTTGAAGAGTTTGAGCTGATTCGTGCTGATAACGTGTTGTGAAAATGAAGAAGATGAAGACTAAATTTGAGAGAGAGATATATTAATAAAAGTTCTAAATATCTTCTTCTTAATATCTGAGAAGTTCTGAATTTCTGAATTAATTTACAATGCCTCATCAAGCTCCTATTTATACTGTTTGAACTTGATGATTAGTCACTTAAGGGATGAATCTACAGATTTGGTGGTAATAACAATTTGAGCCATCTGTTCTAACTAGGTTACAAGGATTAAACATAATTTCTGGATTGATGACAAGGATGAACAATTCACACTTGTCATTTCCAGGATTTTACAACATATAATTATTATTTGATTATTATGATCATTGTTACACCATTTTTTCTCTCTGATGCATATACTTATAGGCCTTTTGTTCTCAATATTACAAAAATGAGGATAAAAGACAAAAATGTGATTTCTTTTATATACTCCCTCTGGTCCTAAATAAACTTCACATTTTCCATTTTGGATAGTGATAGTTCCTATACTTAACAATCAAACAACTATAACAGATAAAGAATAAGCAAATAGAAAGATATGAGATGAAAACCAAATCTGGTATACCGTGAACTGGTCATTGCCCTCCCTCGAGAAGGAGAGCAGCGGCAAACCCTCTCTCTATATCGCCTCTAACTCTCAAGCCTCGAATACTTAGGGTTCCCATAAGTTAGCCTCCTTTTATAGGAGAGGATGGCTAACTTATGGGTTACAAAGAAGCTAACGGGCTAATATACATTTGTGGCTCATATTACACTTTTAACTAATAACTACACAAATACAAAGATACTAAATTAGATTGGACACCATAAAATATTCCTAACAATCTCCCCCTTGGTGTTCAATCATGTTAAATCATCGTTGCAGCGCATATATCTTTGTCTTTGTTGTTATTCACCTTCCTTTGTCTTTAATTTGAACTTGACTTCTTGAAAAGACTTTATGAAGAAATCTGATTTTCTTTGTAAAATCACTATAAGATACTATAATGAGTTTATATGTATATACAAGAAATATAGAAAAGTTTGTAAAAGTATATGTGTTTAGACGCATTTAGATTAATGTGTTACAGTTTGTTTCAAGTCTACACTCTACACTCGATCTTCCCCTACTGGCAGTTGCGGAGCCAAAAATGATTCAAGAGGGTCGGAATTTAATTATATACATAATAGAAATGATGAATCGTTTTCAAACAATATATTGAATTGAATGTTTCATATGTATCTTAGAGAAATGTTATTTTAAATTAGATTAATAGAGTTACAAATTTGACGTATGTGTCATATTATTTATAGGTATCACAAATTAAAAGTAATGAATGAATTACTATATTTTTAAAGTTTGGGAATATAATCAATAATAAATACTACTTCCGCCTCACTAACATTGGGACAAGAGTGAGTCACACAGTTATTAAGAAAAATGAGTTTATGTGTTTGATATTGAATTTGATAAAGAATCAAGTAAAAAAGATTTAGAATCACACAAACTTTACAAAATTTGGTATGAGAAATGAAACAATCTAAGTGAAATTTCCTGAAATGAAAAAATGAGATGATCTTATCAAGAAATTTCCTGAAATTTTCTAGATTTAGAGTATTACGTACGGAGTATCAAATTTACTCATTTTAAGTTATATGCTGATTTTCTAGAAGTCATATATTTTTGCTCCTAATGAATTACGAGGAGTCATACTATATCAAATTGAAAGTATTCCAGAGTTCTACATTCTCAAATTTAAGGGGGGTCGGTTGACTAGCCTGACCCCTGGCTCCGCCCCCGCCTACACGAGGAAGACAAGAAGAGAAACTGCACATCTAGAGTGTGCACTAATTGGCCATTACAGCATAAACAGGTCCATATAACAGTGCACTACTAATAAATAGAGAACTCAGATACAAGAATATATTATTATTATTATTATTTTCCAATTATAGAAGTAGATGTTTTCCTTTTTATATTAATCTATATGCTACTAACATTTACAGCCTCATTTATGCCAGTAGGACTTGTTTGGTGCTGTCTGAATTGCTGAGCTGTGATGGATCTATGTTACAAGGAAGTGTCTCATTCTAAGAATAAAAAACAGCAATCCCCCATCTTTTCTTTCCAGTTCATATGACCAAAAAGTTGGCCAAAAGGAACATACAGCCATTACAAAGAAAAGACCGTGAAATGATTTGAGCAACAGCCAGCCAATTTTTCTTTTTGTTTTGTTTTATAATAATTATTATTTGACACAAAAAATAATCACCCCTCAATAATATAATTGTGTTTGTGAAGTAAAATCCAAATTTCCCCCATACCTAGCTTGACCATATTTGGGATCAATCTTTTTACCAATGCAAGAATCAGTTTAAGAAACTCAAGAAGACTATGGGCGCATAAGATCTTCTTTTTTTCTTGTTTAAAAAACATGAGACGTATTCACATTTAATGAATTAAACCCATTAATTAACTTTGTAGCTTGGGTCAAAGACAAAAGACCTTTCCTGCTGAGCTGTTGTTTGGGGAGAAATTCTTGAATGTATTATAATTTGTCATTTTTTTCACCTGATTGATACTCTTTCCATTGGATGGAGTTGTGTGTACCAAATTCTCACTTCACATCTTTTTCTGTTTCATGCTCCACATCCACCTATCTTCTCCCCCTAGGAATCTTAAAGTACTAGCAGCAGGAACATCTTAAATACAGACCAGCTAGCTAGTACAAAAGAGAGAAAAATTAAAGTTAAAAAAACACCAGAGAAATGACATCAGCATAAGAGTTTGATTTCTTCATTGTTTGGAAAGTAAGAAAGATTCTTCTTCTTCTTCCAAAAAAGAAAAGAGAGAGAGAGAGAGAGATTTTTTTTCAAGAACTGGGATTCCCAGAGTTACCTTGTTGATCCTGATGACAGAATTCCTTGAGTGAAAACTATTGTTCTAGATAGACAATATGACACCAGAAAGTAATTTTTTTAGGAGATTTTTGGGATCTTTAAAGTTGTAGAACTTGAAAACATGCCACCACACAGTATACAACACACCATGCCACTTGGTCTTTGGCTTTTTTGAATAATTGCAGCTCATCAAGTACTTTCACTTCTTGAGGGCTACCTGTAGAGCTAAATATTCCCAATTCCAAACATTCAAAACTTTCTGACACATATATATCAATTGGTTCCCCATTCTTTTAGATTATCTAATTCATCAATGCTCAAGCCTTTAGAAGGTCAAGAAACATAAGATTTCTCTGATGGCAATTCCAATTGCAGCAGTAGCTGGAGGTATTGGAGGGGCATTACTACTATTGGGAGTAATAATAACTTATTGTTTCTGTATGCATCACTGTAAGAACTCTTCAAACAGGAACTCAGACAGTGCTTCATCAGATCCCCCTGCTGTTGGTATGCTTTCTTCCCCTGAAACTATGACTTCTGATACTCTTTCTGTCCCTTGAAAAAGTTCTCAATTTGGCATTCCAAGAATTCTTTCATACTATCTAACACTCAGAGATGTACCAAAAGCGAAGAAAAGAACTTTAAACAGGGACTGAAGAAATATTAGAAAAAAAAATCCCATTTTTAGTGTGAGTCTTGCTAATGTTTCCTGCCTAAATCTCAAAGTATTGTGCAGTGGAGCCAAGAAGGGAAGGAGGGGCGAGCAGTTCAGAAGCAAAGGCAAGGGTGTTTAGGCTGAGAGAACTGGAGCATGCCACCAAGCATTTTGATGAGTCTCATCTCATTGGCTATGGAAGCTTTGGTATGGTTTTTAAAGGCCTGCTTTATGATGGAACCATCGTGGCTATCAAAAGGCGCTTGGCCGCTCCCCGGCAACAATTCACTGAAGAGGTGCACAATTGATTACCAATAATACACTTTTTCATTCTATATTAGTATAATCTCATACCCACTTTTCATGTTTTGATATATACGGAGTATAGCATAGTTTAATCGTATTTACCGTTAATATATTCCCTCTATCGCTTAAAAACCCTTTTAATTTGAATAACTCGTACTTTAAATAGCTTCAAGTGTATTCTTTGACGGTTGCTTTTCCATTGTTTTCAAGGAAAGTGGTTATTATACCTTTGAAATATAGCGAGTGAAATGCTCAAACGATACTCAATTATTGGTGTTCTTCCTTTTGCTACTTTGACTTTTAATGAAGTAACTCACTACCATAACCATACGTAGTATATAAATGTTTAAACGGATAGTATCAATTTAAAAAAAATATCACGCGTGACGGTCGGAATTTTATACGTAAAATCCACTTTACGTCATCACTTTACGTCGTTTTGTCTGTGTCATTACTATAGTCTATAGAATAGACTCTATGACGGAACTTTAGTTGCCACATGGTTTTTTGGTCAGAAATTTGAATAGTATCACCGGTTGAAACATTTATGTTGATTTATGGTACTAATTTATTTCATTTAAGCGTTAAAGTACCAAAATATAAGAATATTATGTAATAATTAAGGTACCGTTTATGCATTTTCCGTTATACTTAAAGTTGGAGTGAAAATTTAAGCTCTACTTTAATGATTAGGATCTCGGGTCTCTACCTGGCGCCAAAACCAGGTAGGATGCTTGATACCTCCCATGCGTAAATTGGAGGAATGACCAAGGTTTGAAACTCGCAGCGACCCCGTGTGGGATTACAGCTCCTGCATGATGGACTGAACTTCTTGTGCACACGAGTACAAGGTCTACCATCATTGGGTTGACTGAGTCAACGTGATTACATCTTCTCATATGCTTTGTTGAGTTGGGGCGTGGGTGACCCTTGGGATTGGTGATTCAACCTTTTGGAGGAAAGGTAGGATGCCCGGGCAACCAATTTGACCATTAAATAAAAAATAATAGATCTCAGATTTAGGGGTCCATTAATTTCATTTTTTTTCATCTGCCTCTTAATAACTATGGATATTTTTGCTTGGATTGGTTTCTGTCTCAAATCAGATTAGACTTACACATTTCATATCAGACTTAAACAAATCAGATTATATAAGACTTAAACATTGAAGTAAGTATGTATGTGAGTGTTTGTGGCAGCAGGTGGTTCATATGTCAATGGTGCACCATAGGAACTTGGTGAGGCTTCTTGGATACTGTCAAGAGAGTGGCTACCAAATGCTAGTCTTTGAGTACTTGCCCAATGGCAGCATGCGCAAACACTTGTATGGTAGGTAATATTTAATTTCAACTATATATGCATCGTTTGGGTGGAATTATTATATACTCAGAAATATTTTGCATTATGGTAATTTAATTTATTTTAATTTAATTATTCTTGGAAGAGACGGGAATGGATTCACAGTCGACCAAGCTAGAATTCAAGCAAAGGCTTTCGATCGCTAGTGGAGCAGCAAAAGGTACTACTTACTATTCATTGAATTTAGTTTAATTTAAATGATACCAACTAGCCCATGTAGGTCATGATTTAATGTGTTAAAACCTCTTCTTTATCTCGACATTTAAATGTCAACATCTTTAACTGGGATGTGTTTCGAACTTGTGAGTTCCTCCTTGAAAGTATCACAGTGATGTTATCGAACCATAAAGTGTTTGGCCAAACCTCTCTTTTTAACCCGTGTTCTTTTAAAAATTTATCATAATCTATGTGTTATAATTATTCATGTTACATAAAATTTTGAAGCAACAAATTTAGCAATTTGAGAATCATGTCTCTTAATGTTATAATAATAATATTGATCATGCAAATAAGTTTCTCAAAATCTTAAATTATACGGAGTTCAAAAATATTATTCACTTTTAATTTATTCGATAATTATTTTTGAGGGGTAATGCACATGATTAATTATAACAACAATTAGTTTGATACATTTTTTAAATCACAAACGGTTGATGCACATAATTTACTCACGCTAAAAGTTAAATATAAGCATGTTATTACTTGAAATGTAATTCCTCTCAGACCAGACTAGTTATAAAAATACAAAGAAATCAGACAAGACCAGAGTAGTTCAAACCAGACCAGCAAATTATAGTCCAAGTAAAAACATCCTAAGAATGTTTGTATCTGGATCTATTTTTGTTTAGACCTGACTACATTTAATTTAAACTGACCAAACCAGATTTAAACAAATTGAATCGTACTTATAGATCTAACAAAACAAGTCAATCCAAATGTAAATATCCTTATTCTTTTTTTTTGACTGAAATATCCCTATTCTTGATAAATATTTAATAGTTTTAATTTATTGCACATGTGATTAATGTGGGCAATAACAAAACCGGATATTTAGAATTATGAGTTCACACTTCACACTCGATCTCAAACAATAAGAGAGTGCATATGATCGAATGGTCCCAAAGCCCCGTGTGAGGTTGTCACAACGTGCATCAGTCACTTGCCTGCCTGTTTACATTACATTATTTTTCATGCCCAAGTTCCATATTGATCCGTCACTGCTCTAATCAATAAGAAAAAATCCATGGGTGCTATTTGTGAAAAAAATCATGAATAAAAATGTAACTTAGTTATGATCAAAGTTTTTACGTAGTATTATTTAATGATTTTTTCATTTTTTTAATTGTGATTATTCATCTCTAAAATTTGTTTATTTTTTCATTAAAGTTTCAAAATTTATATTCCTCTGTTAATCATCTGATCCACCCAATTAACCCGATCATGATGAACGTGTTAGAGGTGGAGGTGGATGTGGATGGGATGTGGATGTAATTTTTAACGAATGATGAGCATACGTGTGATATATGAATAATTGATGGATGAATGTGGGTAAATTTTCGTCCGGTATAAATCCGGCCCATTATCACCGCTCATCGGAGTGGGAATGGATAGAGAGAGGAAAGAGAGGAGGAAAAATGTGAGAGTGAAAGAGTATTTGCCTAAGTTACTATAATGATCGAATTAGCTAGGCGATTCAACCTGAAAGCATATGAATTGGAGCAAAATCCAACATGGTAGCATACAAACCTGCTAATGTGCCAATGATTGGAAATACCCTATGACCCACGTAGACCTGAACCGGAACGTCTTAAATTCGTCAGGTTGAATAAACTCGGTAAAAAAAGTGGTGTTGCGGGAAACGGTCATTGGCCCTCAACATGAAATGGCTACTGTTTAAGCAATAATTTGATAAGCTAAAACTAATTAAAAAAGAAAATTATATGAAGAACGGGTCTCGTACAAGAGCAATGAAGGAGATGACAAATGAGTGAATAAAAGTGAAAGCTTGTGTATTATTCGAATATCAGCCTCTCTTGATTACAATGAGGGATATCCTATTTATAAGAAGAGTAATTAATGCTCTCATTATGGCTTTGCACGTTACTGACAGATTGGCTGTACTTTATGACGAATTCAAATTTGTCATAAAGACTGGCCAACTACACTTAATACCCTCCTTAATCACATTAAAGGGACTACTAACGTACAGAAAACGTTACAATATTTAAAATGAGATTCTTGACGCTTCATTGACTCCAGTTGTCCGTTATTGGTGGTTTGACGTGACGGTTCCGACACGTCGGTTTCACAGCTCGTCATTAATGTTGGTCAGCTCAAATGGGTAACCTCCTGCCTTAATATCACTACTAATTACAATAATGAACACAAATCCGTTACAACAGCCATTATTAAGTCTCATTAACCTCTGTGATCAACCTTCTTTAATGCATCATAAATCGCCAAATTCTTGCTCTAACAGCGACCGGCTTACGACCAAATAAACCTACCACATTGGCTAGTTGGAATCTATAATGCACCAATACTTCCCTATGATGTCGTATCCGCGTATCTAGTACGTATCTGGTACTGATTCTCACCAATACACATCATTTACGTATTGAATTTGTTTCCGTAATTTAATAAAAGAACTAGACTGAATTGTGAAATTATAGATACTTCAGTTACACGTATCCGTAGACGAATACATGTATCTAAGAATGATTTAACATACATTAATAGAGTAGTCGAGTACCCGATCCGGTAACTAATCGACCATAACTTATCTTTCCTCATTCTTCATCTGCATCTCTTACTGTCTACAACTCCTGAGTCCTTATCAGGTAAAGTACTAATTACTAATTAATAAAACACCGTCTTCTTCTCACACACAATTGTTAAGTCTCAATTAATTCACTTCACTCGTAAATTATTTGTGTTCGAAATGTTTTTCCTTATGTTTTTATAATTCTATTGTCTCATATATTTTCTTCGAGTGTGGTAATTTTTAACCGATTTAATTTCCTTAAGTTGTGAGAGTATTCCTTAACAAAGCATTTATGTTACTCTCACATTGTAAAAAAAAGTCTTAAATAGGAGAAAATCAAGTGGAATTTTAAATTAAGAGCACTGTATTTTTATTTTCTAATTAAAAGTAATTATTGTCATGTTTGAAAATACTCTGTATGACTATCTTCGTCCCATTTTATGTGTCTTATCTTGGTTTAACACAATTATTAATAAAGTGGTTGAAAAAGTAAAATTGTAATTGAGATTTGAGTATAATAAAGTGAGATGTCTTAGACCACATGTTTCTTTTGAAAAGGGAAAATATGACACTTATTTTGATACAACCTAAAAATTAAAGTATTAAAACAGATAAAATGAGACGGAACGTGTTTCAAATATGACACTAAGAAACTGTCATATTAAAGTTGGGTAATGCCAAAATATTACACTAAGATTTAAGGATGATTGTAAATTACTCTTATTAAGACAATTAAAATATAATAATCCTGTTTTCAAATTTAACAATTGTTTTACACTTTTTTCTTGAATTTTTCCCTGTATATAAATCATTTTGAATAAAAATATATTAATCAGTATTATCAAAGTTTACACATTGTACCCAAAAAATATGTATTAATTCAGTTGAATATAATAGAATAAACTATGTATATTTATCCTAATAGGACTAAAACACACTAGTATCATTTTTTCAAAAATTAGAAATTGCTCTAAATAGGAGCAAAAACGTTTTGAAATTTCAAAATAGGAGTATCATGTTTTTTATTCCCTAAATAGGAGTAATCTGCCATGTTTGGGAAAAAATGACATGTTTTAAAGCCTAATAATGCCAAACTTGGCAGAAATTTACTCATATTCAAGTAATAAAAAACATGATAGTACTATTTTGGAATTTTAAAAATTTTTGACTCCTGTTTAGGGAATTCTCCCTTCAAAAATAGGTTGTACTAGTTCAAAATGCAACAAATAGGACTTTTTATTTGTCATAGACAAAAATACCCTCATAGGGTTGGTTGTCTCCTACCCCTAGGTCTCCGGACTGCTTGCCGTCAGTCGCCAGATTTCCCACCAAGTTGCCTCCACATATCTGCTAGAATCTTGCCGCCGCAGAGCTGCCACCACCAATGGATTGATCCGTCACCACAGAAATTGTCTTGGTTTTGCAAGAAAACTAATGGGCTAATTAATTTGGTTAACTAATTAATTATATAAATTAGAGGTAGAAATAGAATGACTAGTCCTATTTAGGGTAAACCAAACATATAATCCTATTTTTGGAAAAATGTTATACTTTAGTCGTAGTTTGAGCAATGTACTCAATAAACTAAGGATGTTTTTACTTGGACTGTTTTCACTCCCAACCCACATCAGACCAGATCGAACCAGACTTCCATAGTTACAAAATAAACCGAGACCAGACATTTACTAGACCAATTCAAACCAGATCAGACCAGACTAGAGACTAGATCAAACCGGACCAATCAATTTCAGTACAAGTAAAAACTTCCTAACATATAGCAATGAACTAACATATAACATTAAATATCTTCAACTTTTATCCTCTTAAGATTGACTTTTTAAAATGAAACACATAACAAATCTTAAAATGGATTCGAGTCTGGTCCGATTTTAGTTAGTTACTTAGTTTGTTTGTCATCCATTGTTTGAATTGGATAGTGCATTTAGAGTACATTTGTTTGACAGGTGGTTTTCAATGTTTTATCTCACATCCCTTATATATAAATTATAAACCTTACATCATACCCTGTATGTATGTCATGGATTCCTCCTATTATTTATTGGGATACATCTGAAAAAACAAAGTATAATGTTTCACTAACATTACTACATTATGATCATAGGTTTGTGTCATTTGCACAGCCAACAGCCCCCAATTTTGCATGGCAACTTCAAGACAACTAATGTGTTGGTTGATGAGAACTTCATTGCCAAAGTTTCAGGCGCAGGGGTGTCAAGGCTACTCGAGACGATAGACGATGCAGGGCCTTCCCATTCGGTAAATCGGGCAAGTGTATTCAGAGATCCAGGGTAAACAACATCATCAGATCTGCTCCACATTATATGATATTACACCTCTAGAAATGTATCTAAATACTTGTGTATGTTTTGTACATATGTTTTGTTCACTGGCAGTGTGGATCAAAGCACTCTGTTGTGTGAGGCATGCGACGTTTACAGCTTTGGGGTGTTCCTTTGGGAACTAATAACAGGAAGAGAGGCTTCACATATAGGTGGCTTGGGATCAAATGAACGTTTGCTTCAGTGGGTATGTAAGAGAATTTGATTTTTTCATTGATAACGACTTTAATTCTGACTAATACATATATTATCATTAAAGAATTTAATTAAGGATGTCCATCCATATGAATTGTTAGTTAACCAAATTAATAAGCATGTCATGCATGACTGGAACTACACACAGTTCAAAAATGAAGGTAGAAAACAATAGAACAAGAACACATAAGCTCTCATCTTTTTCATTCCAAATCAAAGGTAGAAACACATTTGAACGAGAACGATTTGGTGGATCGACGGCTGTCAAGGAGTTTCACCATGGAGGGAATGGGGGATTTCATCAAACTAGCCATGAGATGCACAAGTTTTCCAAGTAAACAAAGACCTGCCATGGAAGTGGTGGTTGTGGAACTAGACAAAATTCTTGATAAGGAGATCATGCATACAACATTCATGGGAGAGGGCACTACCACTGTAACTCTAGGCAGTCAACTATTTACAAATTAATTAACAGTAGTATTTATATGTGTATGATTTCGAGATTTACCACGAAAAGTATCTTACATAGGAGCTAAATTGATCTCAATTAATGTCAGCACTTCAATATGTATGTATTAATTTTCATTTATTAAAGAAATGTATATCTTCATCACGCTGGCTCAATATCGACCTAAGAACCCACACATGTTTTCAAGTGTTCTTGATGGAATTGATTAACATATGAAAAAGGACTATACATTTGTAACCATAAAGCATTGAAGTCTAACGAAACATGTTTCTGTTGTTATCATAATAATAACCTACATTCATCTATTCATGTTTTTTGTTGCGATGCAAGTGTTTTTATCTCGTTCGAAAGATCTTATCGTGTTCTAAAACTCATATTCAGGCTTGGTTTTCAAAATATTACGGGATGATTACCTAATGAACACTATATTACATTAAACAGGCTATGTAGTTAATTTTACCATATCTTGTTGTATGTTCTTCTATTTCAAGTGTTTTATATCTCTATGGAAAGATCATTTTGAGTTCTTCTATACAATATGTTGAACAATAGATATAGATTAACATGACATTCATAAACATTTTTGATTTCATTCCAAACTCGTGTAGTATTTGATTTGATAATATCTTGTTGTATTTCGTTCTATTTCAAGCGTTATTGATCTCATTGAAAGATCTTATCGAATTATAAAACTCGTTTTCAGACGTTGTTTACAAGATAATAAAGAATAGGTACGTACTACTCATATATTTCAGATCATTGCAGCGTTGATCAGAACATGTGTAGTATTTGACTTGATCATATCTTGCTACATTTTGTTGCAATGCAAGTGTTTGTTATCTTGTTGGGAAGATCTTATCAAGCCATGAACTCAGCCGCTTCCCACTTCATCTTAGGCCACCAAAAGTTTTTTTTATGTCCTTGTAATGCTAGGTGCACCGAGTAGGATGTGTTGTGCCCCTCCTCCATAATTTGCTTCTTGATCTCTTCACACTTCATTGGGACACACCACTTGCCCTTGTACCTGATGCTCGTGTCTTCGTGTAGCTGGAATAGTCCGTTCATGCCATCTTTCATTCATGTTCTAATTTGCTCAAGCTTGACTTCTCCAGGTTGCCGCTTCTTGATTTCCTCGAAGATAGAGGGTGTAAGTGTCTAACGGTCATGGTGTATTACTGTATTTCACTATCTACTTCTCAAAAGTCCCTCATTTCCAAGTTTAGCTTCTGAAAGTCCAATACAACCCGCCTGGTAGAATGCAGGTTGCTCTACAGGAATGTGCTGATTTTTTGCTCAAGGCATCTGATGTCATATTGACTTATTTTTCGTGATATTGGACTTCCAAATCATAGTCTTTGATGAGCTCGTGCCACCTCCTTTGCCTCATGTTGAGATCCTTGTGTATGAAGATATACTTGAAACTCTTATGGTCCGTATAAATCTTGCATTTTGATCCATACAAGTAAGAGTTCTAGAAATAAGCAGGGATGAGATCAGTTCAGTTCTTGAAAGTAAATTAGAAACCATTTGAAGAACCCTTAATCCAATATCAATTCGGTTCTAGAAGTTTTTAGAAGAACTGATATAAGAATCGATAGCATTATGTCGGTGCAATTCTGGTACGTTGTAACTAATCATTAACTATTATTGTGTTTCATCGTTAAACCACTAACACATAAAAATATAATTTCAAATTAACAATCTTTTAACCGCAAATAAGTAAACAAAAATTTACAAGCTAAAAAAAAAAGAAAAGAAAGCAATTATTAAGGAGAAAACTCAATCGCACCTATGCTCGTACCATACGTCCACATTTAGGAATGAGTATAACGCTTGTGTAACGATTATTGTTCTTATTCACTGAGTTGTGTAATACTCCCTCCGTTCTTAAATATGAGTCCTTTTAGGCTTTGGCACGGGTTTTAGGAAAATAATAGGAGTAGTGTAAAAGGTGTATTGGATTGTGGGTAAATGAAAAAGTAGGAAAGAGAAAGGGGTAATGGTAATAAAAGTGGGGGTATAAAGGTATTTTGATTGAAAAAACTTACCAAAAAGGAAAAGAGGAACAAATAATTAAAAACGTCACAAAAAGGAATGCGAGACAGTTAATAAAGAACAGAGGGAGTATAGCAATTAATCATAAAGGTACCGAGTTTGTTGAGCATTGTAGAAACTTTGAGTTTTTTTATTAATAAAAATAAATTTGCATGCTTATGCTTCATTTATTTTTGTAGAACTCTACGTTTGCTAGATCATAAATTTGTTTCATTTATTTATTTAATTTTTTCTTAACATACTCCCTCCGTCCCCCAATTAAGTTCTCGGTTTGACTTCACACATATTAAGAAAATAAATTTGACTTTATTGTGGAGTGCACTGTTTTGCACTGTTCAAACACTGTTTGGACACGGTTAGACACTGTTTGACATTGTTTTGATGTAGATAATTTGCCAAATAAGGAAAGTAAGGAAGTGTGAACTTAATTTAGGGACTGCCCAAAAAGGAAAGTGGTAATTTAATTGCGGGACGGAGGAAGTATTATACATAGAAAATTACTCACAATAGGACTAAAACATAACACTCTTTTCAAAGTATGATCATATGTTTGATTTTACTTAAATAAAACTAAACATTACATTTCTACCCTTAATTTAATTAATTAATCAATACAATTAATTGCCCCTAGTTTCCTTGAATAACCAAAATCATTTTATTGGTGGCAGATCGGTCTGATGACGCCACCAGCGAACTCTGGTGACGTAGGCAGACGACAATGAGATTCAGGCAAATCTATAGCGACGGTATAGGTGATATTTCGATGACCAACAGCGACGATCGAGATTTTAAAGTCTATAGACTTTTTGAAAGTATATATACTTATCAATGGATTTAAAAGTCGATAGAATTCATTCATAAAAAAGTCTATGAATTTAAAAACTCATGAACTTTTAAAAGTCAATGGATTAAAAATAAATCACCACAATCCATAATCAATACACCTCCACCAAAAATAGAAAGTATAGTTAACTAAAAGAGGATGAAGGGGCTCAAGGGAGTATTATATATTGTTTGCTCTAATATGATTTGACACAGCATTTAAGACAAAGTAGTAGGGTAGTAAGAGAATATGGAAAGTAGAAAAATTAATGGTAATTGAATATTTTTAAAAGAAAAAAATTCCAAAAAGGAAAGTGTAACAAATAAGAAAAGCTTTTCAAAAAAGAAAATGCAGCAAACAAAAGAATGTGAAAAGAGTTATTTTTTCTTGAGAGCATTACAATTTTAACCGCTCCCATTTTTTACTTAGAAGCATTATATTTTTTACCCTTCTCACCCTCTCCAGTCCTAAACATGTTTTGATCTTCAAGAAAAGGATCAGTCTCTGTTTCCGAAGTAAACAACACTATTGCAAGTCGCTGAACCATGTACCATCCAAACAAATGAACAAAAAAAGCATAACTTTTTATACAAAGTTACAATATGAAATGTGTATATGATTTGTAACATATCAAGTCTGAACAATTCATATATCGACAAGTATCATGAACACAACATAATTTGCAAGCATAAAAAGCGTGTCTTGCAATGACAAATTGACAATCATCTGTTTTTCAGTCTGCAGCAAGATTAGGAAAGCCAATTTGAAATTCACATCTAATTGGTCAAGTTGGATGATCCTTCCGAATTCCTCATGAATAAGATGAAATGAGTAGAGACTGTCAACATTAGAGGGGAACTAGCACAGTACTTCCCAGATTTAAGCAATTACAACAAAAATCAACAAACAGCAGCTCCAAGTATCGGATATTAGAGCAGATTCTACTACATGGACTATATGGGAGTTTTCCCCCGGATAATTTTTATGGATAGACGGATTTGGCTTATTGAAAGTGGGATTTGGTTGGGATAATAATAATGGTGTTATGAACACGGATGAAAATAGGTACGGTATACAGTTGTGCTAGTAGGCTTCCTAAGGCTGAGAGGTGTGAGATTCAAGATGACCAACACAAGAAACTTCCTAGGAAATGACTAGCACCAAAAATAATTATCCTCATTGATCATCGGCCAAAACAAAACAAAAAATAAAACTGATTACTCAACTTTTGCCTCCTCACCTCCATGCCCCATACTACTATTGTTCCCAGTTGCAGATGAAGTAGGCTGTTGAATGCCAGTCACTGGGAATGTTGAGCCGATTGGGCCACTAGAAGTGCTTATTGATGATATCTGGGCAGAGACAGCATCCTTGTTGGACCGCGAAACAGGATTATGCCTTAAGTCCGAGGATGTTGGGCCCAAATTACTCATGTAAGATCCAACAGGGAAGGGAGCAACAGGTATATCAGCAAGAGATGATGCAGATGGACTGTAACTCAGTGTTCCCATGGGATGATCAAACCTACAAGTAGGCCCGTATTTGCATACCCCATTTTGTGAATAGTGTAGGCACATTGGTGCATCCTACAAAGCAACCAAGAGTTGCAACAAAAATGGCATCAATAATCAGATGTAAGAGTATGATCTTAATGGCAAGCAGTTCAAAGTCCAAATATGTGTGTAGCTCAAGAAACTTGGATTTCGGAGGGCATATGTAATATGGTTCTAAATACAGTGTATAGCACAAAGTGCATTACTATTGGCATTTTGGGTTGGTGTCACAAAACCAAACTGAACTAAACTGAATTAAAACATAAGCATATGCAACTTGGTTTTAGTTTGGTAATACTTTCCAACAAGTAGTAATAATTAATCCGAACCTAAAATAAAACAAAATCGAATGAAAAATACAATAAAACCTTAACATATATTTTAAAAATCAAACCGAAACAATCTGTACCCGAACTATATGCAATTCAGAGTTTGTTTAGTTTTTAAATGGTTTTAAACCCAAAAACAAAAAACGAAACCCAAATGGCCACCCCTTCTCATGCAGCCCTATTACAACATAAAGCTTCAATTTCAAGGTATGATGATTCAAAGTGGTATAAATAAATAAAGTACAGAAAGTAAGAGTAAACAATGGAAAATATGTTGCCAAATAGGAATGTGTCCTTGTTTTGACCTAAAAATAGAAGTTGTTAATAGTTCTTTTAGGAGTAAATGAGTCCAATTCTCAAGAGAGCAAAAACAATGATAGCTCCATTTTAATAAATGTGGGGTATGTTACTATGTTCCAGTCCTATTTGTGTAATTTCTTCGTACCACCAGCCCCCTTAGCAGTACCTTTTATTAGATAACAGACTGCTTATG